GGACACACTACCTTCAAAGGAACAACATAAAATAACTGACTTCTCACAGAAACTATGGAAGTCAGGAGACAATGGAAAAATGTATTTAAAGTGCCCCACTGCCCCCTCCCCCTACAAACTGCTTACAAAGAATTCTACACTTACTGAACATGTCCTTCAAAAATAAAGGCAAGAGAAAATAACCTCCAGACAAACAATGAGTGAATTTATTTCCATCATACATATATTAAAATAAATACTAAGGAGAGATCTAAGACAAAAGGAAAATGATGCCAACAAATATAAATAAAGTAGCAATAAAAAACTACCCTTCCATAAAAGTAATAAAAACATTAGCAAAAGTATCCAAATCAACTTTGAAGGACTCTAGAAATTTACTGCACTCTTGCAAAAATCCAGTGAGGGCTTATCCAAGAAAAAATGGTTGAATCTTTGTAAGTACAGCAATATCTGTGGCATTTTAATTTGCTTAATCCCATTCCTCTCTTCCGGATTCCAAAGTATCCTTGAAAACTAAAATCCCCACAATTATAATGAAACCAGCAGCCTAGCAGCCATTGATGGTAGTAGAATGGAATCTGATCTCAAAAGCACCATACTCAGAGAATTCTCATTATCTGTGTTGGTCTGTTGTTTTCCTGGAGACTCTATTAAAAGGTCTTGTTTTATTTGACCTGAAACCTCACTTAATGTGAGCATCCTCTTCTACAACATATTTGTCAAAAAATTCAGCAACAGCAATTATTTAACATTGTAGCTACCTGAGGCAGTGATAACAGTTGTGGCAAAAAAGAAAAAAAAAAAAAAAAAGCAGCAGCTGAGAGGATGATAAATATGTGGCAAATAAACACTTGAAAAGATGCCTAACATCATTTTATTAGGATATTCTGTATTAAAACAACAATAAAATGCCACTACTTATCATTTATTAGAATAGCTAAAATCCGATAAACTAACAATACCAAATATTAATGAGTTTGCAGAGCAACAGGAATGCTCATTGATTGCTGCTGGGAATGAAACAAGATGCAACTACTTTGGAAGACAGTTTGGAAGTTTCTTACATCTTACCATATGATCCAACAATAGCACTCCTAGGTATTTACCCAGTGAAATGAAGAGTTATGTCCACACTAGAACCTGCATGTGAATGTTTACATCAGCTTTATTTGTAATAACAAAACACTGGAAGCAACCAAGATGAACAGATAAGTGAATGGGTACTATACAATAGAATATTATTCAGCAATGAAAAGAAATAAGCTATCAGCCATGAGAAGACGGATATTTTTAAGTGAAAGAAACCAGTCTGAAATGGGCCTATGTTTGTATAATTTCAATTATACAACATTCTGGAAAAGACTAAAACATAAAGACAGTTTTAAAAATCATGGTTTCCAGGGATTTGGAGATGGGTTGGTAAGGGATTAATAGATTAAACACAGAGTAATTTTAGGATGGGAAAACTATTCTGTATAATACTGTAAATGATGGATACATGACATTATGCATTTGTCAAATCCCAAGTGACTTTACAGTACAAAGAAAGAAACTTAATGTATATAAATTTTTAAAAATCATTTAGGATGTTGGGGGAATTCCAGGAAAAAATACAGACTGTGAATAGAGAATTTAACTGTATTACAAATGCATGACATAACCTCACTGAAGTGAGCATGCAAAAAGTGCTCACCTAAGTAACTTCAGAGTCTACACAACTGAAGGTAAAAGGAACTGCACATAATCACTGTAGTCAATTAATTACAATAAAAATGAAAGAAAAAATGAAAGAAAGAAAGAAAGAAAGAGAAAGAAAGAAAGAAAGAAAAGAAAAGAAAAGAGATGGAACTGAAGAAGCAGATGGCCATTGGGTGTTTAGAAAAGCTCTGACATATTCCTTGTAATCCAGAAGGCCACATAAGTGCATAGGGTTTTGTGCATGTCCAGAAAATAACTGAAAAGGCCTGGAGCTAACCTTGAGGTTTTGTATAAAACCCTGTATATGTAGTTTGTATAAAACCACATAAAACCTTTTATACAAGCAGAAAGTGAGGCTAAAGCAGAGTTGTAAACTTCCTGCCAACACATACACAGAGACCCTTGAAAAAGGATAGGAAATTAATTGATTCCAAGAAAATGTCTATTCAATTATCATTTGATCACTAAGTGAACTAAGCAGAGACTTCAGTGATCACTTAACAAAGGATCTGCATGTTAAAGAATTTTTTCAGGAAAGCCAGTAGACAAACTGTGATAATAATAACAAACTCTAGGGCAGGGGAAAATCTGATTTTCAGAGTTGTCTAATTGTATCGTGTTAAGTGCTTAGTTTCCAAAAGAAAAAAAAGAAACAACAACAACAACAAAATAAACATACAAAGAAAGAAGCTATGGTTTATACACAGGAAAAGAAGCAACCAACAGAAACTGTCCCTAAAGAATGTTGGGATGTGATGTTGAGACAGGTGTTAAATTTATTAAATAAATATTTTAAATCAAGTATTATGAATGCATTCAAAGAATAAAAGGAAACCATGTCTAAAGAATTAAAGGAAAGTATGAGAATGACATTGCACAGAATAGAGGATATCAGTAAACACTAGCATATGCATAATGGGATTATAAGAAGGAGGAGAGAGAAAGACAAAATATTTGAAGAAATAATAGCTCAAGCTTTTTGACTTCCCAACTTTGATGAAAGACATTAATCAGCACTTCTAAGAAGCCTGACAAACTTCAAGTAGGATAAACTCAAAGATGGCCATACCTAGACACAACCAACTGTTGAAATCAGCAAATAAAAAGTGACTCATCACATACAAGGGGTCCTCAATAATATTTGCTACCAATTTCTCATCAGAAACCGTGGAAGCCAGAATGCAGTTGGATGAAGTATTCAAATTATTAAAAGAAAAAGGACATCAAACAATAATTACATATCTAGCAAAACTATCCTTTATAAGTAGGATATTCTCACATAAACCAAAAGAGAGAACCCATCGCTAGCAAACCTGCCTTGCAAGAAATACTGAGTGAGTCCTTCAGGTTAAAATGAAAGAGTGTTAGGAATTCAAATTCATGTGAAGAAATAAAGAGCATTGATAAAGGTAATTGTATCAATAATGTTATGGACTAATTTGTGGCACCTCAAAATTTATGTGTTGAAGTTCTGACACCCAGTACACCTCAGAATGTAACTATATTTGAAGATAGGACCTTCAAAGAAGCCATTAAGGTTAAATGATCCAATCATTTTGGATGAGGGGTCACCCATCCAGTTGGTGCCCTTATAAGAAGAGAGAGAGAGACACCAGCGAAGTGCACACATGGAGAAAAGGCCATATGAGGACATGGCGATAAGGTAGCCATCTGCAAGCCAAAGAGGCCTCAGGAGAAACTGAACCTGCTGACACTCTGATCTTGGACTTTCAGCCTCTAGAAATATAAGAAAATAAATGCCTGTTGTTTAAGCCACCTAGTCTGTAGTATTTTGTTATGGCAGCCTAGCAAATAATACAATGGGTAAATACAAAAGACAGTGCAAATGTAATTTTTTCATTTTAACTGTTTTCTATCTGATTTAAAAGAAAACTGTATAAAATGATAATTATAAATCTGCATAAATGGACATATAATATACAAGGAGTTCATTTGTATGATGATAATAGCACAAAAGAAAAAGGAGGGAATGGAACTACATAGAAGCCAAGATTTTGTATACTATTGAAATTTAGTTCATATTAATATGTACTCGATTAATATTTAAGATGTTATATGTAATCCCCAGGGCAGCCACTAGGGAATAATTCCAAAAGACAGTGAAATAAAGGACAAGAGAATTAAAATGATACACTAGAAAATATCTATTTAATGCAAAATAAGTTGTTACTGTTAGAGAAATAGGAAACCAAAAGGTATAGAGAAAGGAAGAGTAAACAGCAGACACAAATATTAACATTAGAAATATATTAAATTTAGTAGATTAAGCATTCCAATTAAAAAGCAGAGATAGGCAGGATTTTTAAAAGACATGATCAAGCTATATATTGTCTACAAGAGCTTTGGATCCAAAATCACAAATAAGTTGAAAACAAAAGGATGGAGGAAAACATATCATACACAGTAAACAAAAAAAAAGCTGCAATGATTCTACTAATATCAGATAAACTACATTTTAACCCAAAATTTATTATTAGAAATTTAAAAAAAAATTTATAATGATAAATCGGTCAATCCATCAGGAGGGCATAGCAATGATAAACATATATGTACATGAATTGCACCTAATGACAGGGCTTTAAAAAACATGAAACAAAACCAGACAGAACTGCAGAGAGAAATGGACAATTCAATAACAGTAATTGGAGACTTCACAGTCCCACTTCAATGGTAGATAGAACACCAGATAGATGATGAACAGGAAAATAGAACACTTAAATAATACTATCAATGAACTAGACCTAACAGAACATTTCACACAACAGAATACACATTCTTCTCAGGAGTACATGGAATATTCTCCAGGATAGATCACATGTGAGGCCATTAAAATGTCTAAATTAATTTAAAAGGATTGAAATGATACAAAGTATGATTTCTGACCACAATGGATTGAAATTAGAAATCAGTAACAGAGGATATTTGGGAATTTCACAAATATGTGGAAATTAAACAACATACTCTTAAATAATGAATGGGTCAAAGAAGATACCAAAAGGACAATTGGAAAATACTTTGAGGGCCAGGCATGATGACTCATGCCTGTAATCCCAGCACTTTGGAAGGCCAAGGCAGGAGAATAGCTTGAGCCCGATAGGTCAAGACCAGCCTGAACCACATAGAGAGATCTCATTGCTACAAAAAAAAAAAAAAAAATTACTTGGGAATGGTAGTGCATGTCTATAGTCCCAGCTACTCAAAAGGCTGGGGTAGGAGGATCACTTGAGCCTGGGAGAAGGTTGAGGCTTCAGTGAGCTGTGATCACACCACTGATGAGACCCTGTCTGAAAAAAAAAAAAGAAAAAGAAAATACTTTTAGATGGATTAAAATGAAAACACAACACACCAAAACTTATGAAATGCAGCTAAAGCAATGCTTAGGGAGAAATTTATAGTAGTAAATGCCTATATTTAAAAAGCAGAAAAATCTTAAATCAATAACCTAACTTTCCATTCTAAGAAACTGGACAAAGAAGGGAAAACCAAGCCAAAAGTAAGCAGAAAGAAAAAAATAATGATTACAGCAAAAATAAATGAAACAGTGAATAAAAGAATACATAAAATCAAAGAAAGTTGATTCTTTGAAGACATCATTAAAACTGGCAAACTTTTAGCCAAGAAAGATAGAACACTCAAATTACTAAAATGAAGAATGAAAAAAAATGGCATTACTACTGATCTTACAGAAAGAAGAAAGCATACTTACCCTGCAGGAGAGATACCATGATCACAAAGGTGATTTTCCCAGGGAGAGGCTTATCCATTGCACTCCAGATGTGCTGACCCCTGCGATTTCCCCAAATGTGGGAAACTTGACTACATAATTTGTGGTAGTGGGGGACTTCATTCGTGCTCTCCCCTGGTAAAAAAAAGAAAAAGAAAAAAAAAGAAAGAAGAAGGCATATAAGGGAATACTAGGAATTACTGTAACACATTAGATGACATGGTTAAGATGAACAAATGCCTGGAAGGATACAAACTTCCAAAACTGACTCAAGAAGAAATAGAAAATTTGAATAGGTCTATAACAAGTAAGAGATTGAACTAGTAAGAAAAAAAATGTCCAACAAAGAAAAGTCCAGTCCAATTGCCTTCACTGGTGAATTTTACCAAACATAAAGAAGAATTAACACCAAATTTTCATGAAATCTTCCAAAAATAAAACAGGGATTTCAAGTCATTCTACGAGTCCAGTATTATCCTGCTACCAAAACCAGGCAAAGACAATACAAGAGAACAAAAATCCTCAACAAAATACCAGCAAACCAAATCTAGCAACATATAAAAACAATTATGTATCATCAGTAAGTGGAATTTATCCAAGGAATGCAAGGTTGGTTCAACATATGAAAATCAATCAACATAATGCATCATAATAGTAGAATAAAGGACAAAACCACATGATCATCACAATTGATACAGAAAAAGTATTTGGCAAAATTAAGCAAACTTTCACTATAAAACTCAACAAACTAGGAATAGAAGAAAAATGATTCAATCTAATAAAGTGGTCTATGAAAAATCCACAACTAACATCATATTTAATAGTGAAATAATTTTCCAGGATTTAAATCTCTTATAGAATGTATTTTAAAGGCTTCAAGCTCTAGAGTTTTTAAGGTCATGACTCTGGATTTTATTCTGATTCTGATGACAAGTCATTAGAGAAGTTATTAGAGGAATTGGAAGGTCATGATTTGGTACCTATTTTTAAAAACCACTCTGGATACCACATATCCATTTCATTTGAATTCCATTTGGACTAGGGCATGGGTTGGGGAACAGGAGGGAACATGGTATAGTCAGAAAGTTTGTGAAAATAGTCCAGGGTAGAGACTATGGCAGCTTGAACTAAAAGGGTAGTGATGGGAACTGGAAAAAGTAGGTTTCAAAATACTTTTAGAGGCAGAGTCAGCGAGACTCACCAAGGGTTTAGAGGTGAGAGTAAATGAAGAAAGGAGAGGAATCAAGGCTGACTCCTAGAATTTTGGCTTCAGCAATGGGTGGATGGTGATCCTGTATACTGAGGAAAAGACCAAATAGGATTGGAGTCAAGGTTGGCAAATAAAAGTTCTATTTTGAGGACATTACAATTGAGATAGCTATTTAATATTCATGTGAAGCTGTCAAAGAGAGATCTAAATATAAAATTTGGAGCTCAAAAGAGAGATCAGAGCTAAGCATATGATTTGGAAACTGTCAGTACACAAATAGTATTTAAAGCCATGGGACTGAATGAAGCTGACTGGAAAAACAATGTAGATAAAGAAAAGAAGGGAGAACAGGGCTTGGGTTGGTCCTACCTTTAGGCATTCAGGCAGAGGAGGAGGAAGTGCCCATGATGAAGAATAAGAAGCAGCAGCCAATAAAATAGAAAGAAACCAAAAGAGTACCATGGTTTCTGGGAAAAGTAACAATTCAGCAGGAAGTGGTGATCAACTTCGTTAAATGCTGCTGAGAGAGCAAGACAGAAATGACGGCATGGTTATTAGTGCTACGAATAGGGAGATTGTTAATAATTTTGACCATGGCACAATCGATGAAGTTGTAGGGACAGACATTCAATTGAGGTAAGTTAAAAGGGATTGTGAGTTGAAAAAATAAGGGCAATGTATTAGTCTGCTTGGGTTGTCATAACAAAATACCACAGGCTGAGTGGCTTAAACGACAAAAGTGTATTTTATCACAGTTCTGGAGGCTAGAAGTCCCAGATTAATGTGCTATCAGGGTGGGTTTCTGGTGAGGCCTCTCTTCCTAGATTACAAATGGCTGCCTTCTCATTGCATCTTCACACCACCTCTCCTGTGTGAGTGTGTGGATAGAGAGATCCTTGGGTGTTTCTTCTGCTTCTCAGAAGGACAGTGGTCCTGTCAGTTTAGAGCTCCATCCTTATAAAGTAAAATCTATCATTTTGCCTTATCTCCATACATGCTCTGTCTCCAAATACAGACACGTTGGAGGTTAGAGCTTCAACCTATGAATTTTGGAGGAATACAAGTCAGTCCATAACAGCAAGCAACTCTAGATAACCCTTTGAAGACAATTATTGTTAAGGGAAACAGAAAAATGAGATAGAAATTCCAAAGATATGTGGACATGAGACAGAGGGGATAACTATAGAAATGAAGTCCCTGGGAAGGATTTATAATCAATAGAGGCCTTTGACCAGGTTGTCTTTTGACCTTGGCCAAGACACATCAACCACAGAAATGAGAAGGAAGTGAAAAAAGAGGAATAATGATGTTGGCAGGCTGGTGGCTTTCGCAGAGAAATATGAGGGAGTTCCTGTCTAAATGCTCCTACTTTCCTGATGCATATAACACAAGATTATAGTGAGCACGAGCATGGCAGAGGTTGGGTAATGTAGGAGTTTCACATGGAAAACATGACATGGTTATTAGGACATGTAAGCTGGTGAAAATATTATGAAAGTTTTGTAAGATTCTGGACATATTGAGTGCCCACCTGAGATTTATGTCTGTAGAACTTAAACAGAGACCAAGCAACACAGGGTTGTGTGTGTGTGTGCGCGCGTGCGCACATGCATGCATGTGTGTGTGTGCGCGCGTGCGCACATGCATGCGTGTGTGTGTGTGTGTATTTTTTCCAGCCCTTTCAACTGCTCAGACATGGGCATAGGGTAAGCAGACAGACAGGCTTAACCCAAGTCATGACTTTGGAGCCAAGTCCAGCCAAGAAAAGAAGTAGATAATTAAAAATTCATGCAAGACAGTGCTTAAATGAGAAGATATAGATATAGCTCAATAAAAATAAAATAAATAAATGAGAAGAGAAAAAAGTACTGAAAATGACAACTCTAAAAATAAATTTCCTCTCTGTCTCCTCTCTGATAAAAAGATAAAGTTTCTTAAGAAAGATAGGCTACTCTTTGGCCATGTTTGCATTGAAGTGCATACAGTTTTGGACCCACTACCACATCAATATCAAATAATGCCACTATGACTGACAGTACATTACTTTTAAGTAATTATTTATGCATTCCATGTATATTTTGCATGGAAAGCTCAGGTAAACTTGAGATCTGGGTAGGCAAAAATCAGGTGAGTACATTTTTGTTTAAGAAACTCTTTTAGAATAAAATTTAATGGTAGCTATCTTTCCTCGCTCATTAGATTTTTCATTATTTTTCATTCCCAATACTTTTCAGAGCTTAGTATTTTGATCTCAGACTGGTATTAATGTACATAAAAAGTAGTAGGATTTTACAGATCAACTTTTGTCTTGGAAATTAAACTATGTTGTCTCTCTTCCTGTCCAAATTTTGAGCTAAAATTCTGAATATGAAAACCATGTCTAGATTCCATGAATGCCCTAATCCTAAATTCTTCCTGAATTGTGAAGTGGAAAATTAAATCGTTTTTGTTGGAAAACTCCCTGTTCAATGGGTCCAGATCAGCACTCAGATGATGTCAGCAAATGTTACATTTTTTTCCAATTATGAAATGAATTATGGGGCGCTAGCTAACCACAGTTAGTCATTAAATAAAAGTATTTTGGCTGATGCATTGTTGTTCTGCCAGAAAACACAGGTGTTTTGTTTTTAAAGAAATTTTTAAAACATTGCTTTAAGAAAAGATTGCATTGACAATCCTTCAGCTCAAGCAATATAGAAACATTAATAAGAAGGTGTTATTTGTAGAGAATTTGTGTGGCAGGAGTACAGATTGTGTTCTCTCATATGAAATAAAGAGTTGCCTTATGTCCAGGGAACTGAAATAGTTGGGCTATGATATATGAAGACAGTGATATACAACTATGCATATTTAAACACATCAATATGTGAAGTCTTAAAAGTTAAACAAAAGGCACCTTATAAACATGAAATTTTATTATTATCAAGAACAAACTTTATTGGACTGGGATTTTTCAGAGTATGTTAGTTCATTCTCTCTATGATGATCACCAAAGTTTGCAAATGCACAGTCTCAAAATAATGGCATTTACATCTTTCAGCTTCAAAAAAGCTCTATTTGTTAAAAGTAGAGCTAGTGCCATACTTTCATTTGTACGTGGCTTCCTGAAAGATGAATGAGCATAAAATGTTTTAATTGACCCAATAGTCATAATAGTAATTTTTAATCATTTTTCATTTTCAGTAATAACCTTACACTTACCGTTTTCCCTTTCAATTTATGTATCTCTAAATCACTCCTGAATGAAGCAGCTGCCTTCAACTGATTTATCTGAGGAATTTGATTATCTCATCCAAACCATGACATCTTGAATCATGTATTAATGGCATGCTTATGAAATGAAGCAGTTTTCTGTTTCAAAATGACTTTTTCTCCTGTGTGTATAAATGTCACATGTCTATAATCCTCCCAACTCAAAAATTAATGTGGTAAACAATTTCTTATATAGGATACAACTATATTTTAAAAGAACAATAATTTATTGACTAGAGTACCTTAATAAACTGTTGTTAGAAATATATGTTAGGGCTTTAATATTGAAAATGGCATTTTTAATGTATCCCAAATATCATTCCCAAGATCTAGATTGCCCAGGTCTTATTTCAGAGTCTCCCTTAATGCTTTTGTTTAAGACTGAACCGAGCAGTATATTTCTTTAGAAAATTCCTTCCCTACCAGCCAGGCATGGTGGCTCATGCCTGTAATCTCAGCACTTTGGGAGGCTGAGGTGTGTGGATCATGAGGTCAAGAGATTGAGACTATCCTGACCAACATGGTGAAACCCCGTCTCTGCTAAACATACAAAAATTAGCTGGGTGTGTTGGTGCACACCTGTAGTCCCAGCTACTGAGGAGACTAAGGCAGGAGAATAGTTTGAACCCA